TTACCTATTTTCAATTCCAACTAGTTCCGTACGCACTTTATCCGGTCCGATACCCAGAATAGAACCGGAAGAGGCTCCCCTATACTCGTCCGATTTCGGGATTTTTTAGGTCCTATCCCAATCAGGTCGGGTTCGGATCCAGTTTCATCCCTACAAACGGTAGTTGGTTTTAAATAAGTCATTCATGTTAGTCGACATCAGTTCATCTGATCATTCGTGATCGTTTAATGGGTTTGTACTTTTTTAGAATACCTCAAACACTTAAAAACTTTATTGGAAAATTTAGTACAATAATAGTTATGGGTTTTTATGTAATATTGAATAAGTAAAATTTTGATTCTGTAGCAAACATTGTATCAAGTTGGGTACAAACATTGATCTATAGAAAAAGTTCATAGAAAACTAGCTATGGATTTTGATTCTGTAGCAAATTTGTAGCTAGATAACTATGGCCTTCAGTTCTATATCAATTTTGTAGTAAATTAGCTATGGATTATGATTCCGTAGCAAATTCTGTAGCAAAATAACTACAGACTATCACTCGTAGTAACTTCTGTAGCGAAATAGCTACATATTATGATTTCGTAGCAAATTCCGTTACAATCTAACTACGACTTCTAATTTTGTAGCAAAATTCCGTAGTTATTCAATTATTACCTACGGAATGCAATTTTGTAGCAAAATTACTACGGATAGCCATTTCGTAGCATATTCCATAGCAAAATAGCTACGCATTATACTTCCATAGCAGATTTCCGTAGTTATTTAGCATTTTTCTAGTAGTGTAACCCGGATCTACGGGCGTTACAATGTTTTTTATTAATGGAAAACAATGTAAAAACCTTCGATTAATCCTAGGTGGTAGGCAACTAATTAGGAGGTGTATACTAATTGGGAGGTGTATACTAATTAAGTAGATTATAACATGCGGTGTGAAAAAATTAAAAATAATCCTAACTAAATTATAACTTTCATAGCTTAATTATTGAGCAATGATTATAAAAATTTAATAATTAATAAGTATATACGTTTTGTCAATAATATCATAATGATATAATGATTTGTTGAAATTACGAAAGTATAATGGTTTGAATATCCGATAGATAATTTGTATTTGTATATATGTTAGACAGGAATTATATAGTGACAATGGGGTATTGGGTTGGAATCCAAGAACCAATTCTGTTTGCAAATATTTACGGACCACAATCTATATCAGACAAAGTAACCTTGTGGAAGGAGTTGACATAGTTAAAACAAGACAAAGGTAGGATTTGGATATTGATGGGTGACTTCAACGTGGTTCGTAGACCAGACGAAAGATTCAATTCGATTTTCTGCGCCAGATCAGCAAGCGGTTTCAATAACTTCATTCACAAGAGCGGGCTCATTGACATGAAAATGGGTGAGCATCGGTTCACTTACTTTGTAACGGTGATCTCAAATTAAGTAAGCTGGATCGTTTTCTTGTTTGTCTAAAGTTTATCGATCTCTTCCCATCTGCAACAGTGACAACATTATCCGGGGAGATTTCAGATAATTGCCTTATTCTACTCTCCACCTCATGGAGTGATTTCACCCCCCTCCCCCATTTCAAGATGTTTAATTTCTGGCTTTCAAGAGACAGGTTTGAGAATGTCTTCATCAAAGCATGGAATACCTTTGCAGGATACGGCATCCCATATTTGTATATGAATGCCAAATTAAAGTGCATAAAATAGGTGATATGGGCTTGGCATTAGATCAATCAAAAGAAGAGGCAGAATTAAAAAGACTTAAAGAGGTGGTTCATAAACTTGATATAGAGGCTGAAAGCAGGTTGCTCTCCGTGGAAGAACTAGAGATTCGAAGGGTGGGTTACAGGGATATTATTGAAACGGAGAAGAGGGTGGTGATGGACGCAAAACAGAAAGCAAAGATATGGTGGGTGGCAGACGGGGATGAGAACTCAAAACTGTTTCACGGGCTCATTAATAATAACAACAAAAGAAACCGCATAAATGGACTCACATGATGGAAATTGGTACACTAACCCAATCATGATCAAAGCATAAGCTTTCAGATTTTTTCAATCCAAATTTCATGAAAAATGGCCTAACAAACCCATCGTCCACAGTAACTTGTTTCGCAAAATTATAGATCAGGAAAATTGGTCTTAGAAGCTCCCATCACACTACAGGAAATCAAAAATGCGGTTTGGGCTTGCGGGAATGACAAAATCACCAGGACCTGATGGGTTCACTTTTAAATTCATAAAAAAATATTGGGATATTTTACTGGGGGATATTGCAGTTGTGGTGAAGTATTTCGAAAGATATGGCAAGATTGATCCTTATTGTAATTCTTCCTTCATATCCCTTTTAACTAAAATCAAAGACCTGCAACACTTACATGATTACCGTCCAATAAGTTTGATTGGGTGTCTTTACAAGATTCTTGCGGTAAGAATCAAACAGATTATGGGACAATGTATTGACGATGTATAAACAACCTATGTGGCGGGACGAAACATACTAGATGGACCCTTACTCGTTAATGAAATATGCTTTTGGTCAAAAAAAGAAAAAAAAGAGGATTCTACTATTTAAAGTAGACTTTGATAAAGCTTTCGATTTCGTTAATTAGGGATTCCTTGACAACAATCTAATTTAAATGGGATTTGGTGAGAAATGACGAGGATGGATAAAAGGTTATTTAACTTCGTCAAAAGTGTCGGTATTGATTAATGGAACCCCCACGGACGAGTTCACATCTAAAGGAGTTCGTCATGGTGATCCATTGTCACCATTTATTTTTATCACAACAATGGAAGGATTAAGAGTTGCGATGAAAGAAGAGTGCATTAATGGAGCTTTTCAAAGACTGTAACTACCAAATGGAGGTCTAATAATATCACACTTGTTATATGCCGATGATACATTATTTATCGGCGATTAGACTGACCACAATGTAAAGAACTTGGTCTTAATTTTAAGATGCTTCCACATATCTTCGGGGTTAAAAGTCAACTTCAATAAATCAAGAGTTTTTGGTTTGGGGGAAATACGGATGAGGTGGCTCGATGGGCATGTCCTCTTGGTTGTGAGCCCGCAAATCTATCATTTAGTTACCTTGGGGTGCCCAGTGGTGCTAACATGCGACTAAAGAAACATTGGCAACCGATGATTGAACGGTTTAAAAAAAAATCACTTTGTGGAAATCAAAGACTTTGTCGTTTGGAGGAAGGCTCACACTCATAAAATCGGTCCTTGGGAATCTTCCACGTACTTCATGTCTCTCTTTGTCGCACCTGCTGGTAGAATCGATAAATTAGAAAAACTAAGGCGTAATTTCTTGTGGGGTGGTTCGGATGGCAAGTCCAAGATACATTGGGTATCTTGGGACAAGGTTGTCACTAATAAGAAAGCAGGGGGACTTCGAGTAGGATCAATATGGGCAAAAGCCATTTCATGCATACATAATCTTGCGGGTAAACCGAACCATATATTCTCAATGAAAACTTTGACTGGTGCATGAAACGATATTGCAGGCTCACAAAAAGATTTGGAGAAATATGGCATCACAACTGGTATGGTATTGGAAAAACAATCCGTCGGGAATAGTAGATGGTGGTGTATTGGTTCACATGGAGTTTTTTAATGAGTTAGAAAATAAGGAAGGAAAAAACATATTAAGGATGGGTGGATAGTGGAAACCCAGGGAGTTTTCATATTATTTTTATTTTTTAAATAATAAAAATGTAATAAATTAGTTAAAACTAAATAAACAAATGTTATAATAGTTTTTTTATGTATATTAATGATCAAACAACCAAAAAAAATATATCATAAGTAGGGGTGTTGATCGGTTAATTTTTCGAGTTTCGGATCGGATAATTCAGGTTTTTCAAGTTAAAAAAATTACCCGTTGCCTGACCCAAATTAAATTCGGATAGTGGGTCGGGTTTGAGTAATTCGGGTATTACCCAAAATATATCTTTATCTTTTCTATATTATTAAACATATTGCATATTTCTTGAAATTTAAAAGGTAAGACACATCTAGTAACACATCCTTTTGATAATTAAGCTGGGAATTAAACAATATTTCATTCCTCTATTTTTCCTTTTCCCAGACTCACAATTATTCACCAAAACCCTAAATCAGTCGTCGTCTCTAAAAACATAGCACCTCCTCTTGAACCGATGCTCACTCCTCCTACTTCCTAAACTACAATCGCTCTAGCAACATCTCTTATATCACCTCTACTCTCTTCAATCTCCAGTATCCATCCGTTACCACAACCCTTTTGACGCCTCTGTTACTACCACCCTCCTGACATCGTCGTTACCACCACCGGTGTCCGCAACCCCCTATGTCTCCCTGCTTCTACCTTACGTTGAGACGAGAAACACTAACCTTATCCCGCTGCCACCGTCAGACACCATTCACTTGAAACCCTAACCCTAAGTTGTCTCCACCATCACCACCATATGTCACACACCATAAACCAGAAAAAAACCCATCATGAATTGATTCTCACTCCCCCTTTGTCCCACGCCACCATCACACTAACAACGCAACGCCACCCATTTTCCACCATTACACCACCAACAGTCTTTTATCGACGTCTTTATGCAATATATGTCGTCACACTACTTATCCGTCTACTGAATACCACACTGACGATCCTTTTTTTTATTCAAAATCTTAAAGATTTTGGTTTGGATTCTAAATTGGTTCTAAAAATTTATGAGACTTTTTTACAGTAAAAAATGCCCCTACGAACTAAATGGCAGAGTCACTCCGGTGTCCTTCAAATCATGAGCAGTTCCATCTAGCTACACGGACCCTTGCATCGGCTTTGTTAACCAAATTTACCATCCAAAAGTGGATGAAATGTGAGTGTTTGCTTGAACTCGTTATTTTGAAGAATCTATGAACTTGTTTTGGTTTCAGCTTATATCTGGATTCAAGAATATTACGTATTTTGATTTTTTTTAGTAAGTGTTTCTGGTTCAGTTTGCTTGGATGTGATTAATCAGTCATGGAGCCCCAAATACCATGGAGCCCCATATTTGGTACATGAAGATAGCTTATGGTACTACCATGTTTGGTACATGAAGGAGTTGTTTGTGTGTTATAATAATGAAAGTAGTTAATAACTTATTGACTACTCTTTTATCCTATTTGTAAGTGGGATGGTTTGATCCTCAAGGTTTCTCAACCTTTATTTCTACCAATTGGAGCACGACTGATATCCCTTACTGACGGTCTTCCTAACTCCTAAGGTATTTCATATATTGTGTTTAACATGTGTAACCAGCAATAATATATGTTTTATTATTAGTTTTTTATCAGTTAGGGGATGTTTTTATCAATTTTTAAGATATGTTTTAATCATTGTGTTTTGATTTTATAACTCGATTTGCAGGTTGAAAAAAATTATGCCCCTGATGAGCAAAAGAAGTCAAGACCAAAAAAATGTTTTATTGTCTCCAACGTACAGAATAACAACTTGAAGCCTTTAAAAACGCCCCACAGTTTGTATTCTATTTCTTTATTGTTGTAATAATCAACACATATTTTTAGCATTCTATTTCTTTATTGTTGTAATAATCAACACATATTTTTCGCTTTTTCTAGCATCCTACATTTGTATTTTCTATAGCTTATATCCATGAATCTTATTATGAATTCTTCAATCTTAACAGGTTTGAGGTGGGTGTGAGATTGTGAGGTGAGACAGTAGCACCAAGATGCAAGTTGTGAAGAATTGAGGAGAGTTAGTGGACTCGAAATAGGAAGAAGGGAAACAAATCAATGTTCTTTCTTTTGTGGTTGTGTGAAAATAGTTCCTATCTTGGAGGGCCTAACTCAAATAATGTTACATCCATGGTGCAATCACATCCCTTTTGCCTGATTTCATGCTTGCAGATCAAGGTGTCATCTCTTTTATTTTATACTTTTGTTGCAATATTTGCACATTACATTTAAAACTTTAATATTTCATATGTCAGAAACCTCTATCGATTACATAAATATTGAAGAAAATATATTAGTTTTTTTATTTCTATTGCCAAGACAAAGAAAGTAGAATAATCAACGAAAAAAGGACCATCTTTTCCCTAGGTCTGTGTTCTTTTCTCTCTTCTTTTCCCTAATCTCAAAACACCTTCAATCATCTAATTCATTCACCAATTGCAGCCACTTTTTACCTTGATTCACGTATCAACGAAGCTGTTCTGCTTCGATTTCAGATGGTGAGGATCTACCTTCCGTTCCATCCTTATTGTTCAATGTGAATGATGGTGTGATAACTAAAGGAATTGATACCAGAAAACCAAGTAGTGGTTATAGGAAGGTCTAAAATCTTATGTTTTTTGCTTTAATATGTTTACACTTTACATACACAAATACTTTTAAAAAATTACATAGTCTTAAAAAAATTGATTGTTTGTGATTGTGTATATGGAGATGCTCTTTTATTGATATTAATTCCATGGAGATTCTTTAATTTTTAAACTTAAAAACATATCACTTAATATCTCTTGACAGAATCCTCTTTACATTATTTTATTTGTTATTTATTTTCTTTAATTTTCAACCGACTACGTTCTTATCTTATTCTTTATTGTCAACCATGATTGAAGAGAATGAAAGGTCCTCTATCCCTTAACGTCGATAGCATGGGAAAGGAAAAACTATTGGTTTAGTGACCGTAAGTTGGTCTTCTTACCTTGCACTTTCCCCCCTAGAAGCCAAAAACAGAGTTGAAGTTTTTTTTTTTTGAGAAATGTTTTGACTTTCTAATTATCGTGTTGACTTTTGTGGTTTTTTAACTATCCGTATACAGGTCATGATTTGATGATTCACACAGTTTCATCTTTCCAAGTACTAACTCGGAAACAAAAGATAACAGATGTCCCTAATGAGTAAGTCTTCATATTATTTTTATTTTGTTTATTTGTATGTATATGTATGCTACAAAATTGTGGATATGTTGGTAATTTTTAATTTATGATTATCTTATATGGTTGCAAACCATATAATAAAGTGGTACAGAAATTGAAACACATATTCTTTTGTATAAAACCCGTCCATGTTCTGTTGTTGCTAGTTAAGTTCCATTAAGTATGATGCATGCTTCAAAATTATTATTTATCGAGCTAAGTGATATAAGTGATATAAATTATTTTAGAAATACAACCTACTCAAGTTTAATCAAATTCAGAAGTTATTTCTGAGTTCTATGTTACTCTCTATCAATTTGTTCATAACTTCAATTTTTTAAATAACTCTTAAGTATGATAAGTTTCTTAGTTTTTATTAACTCAAACTTTTTGTTTTTGGATGTATATTGATATAGATTTTCCTGATTGCTATATATATATATATATATATATATATATATATATATATATATATATATATATATATATATATATATATATAACCACACATGTATGTGATATTTTCTTATTGACAAGGGTTAAAACCAGTTGAATTAATTATATTTTTATGTTTTGATGATAAAATCCTTATGTCAAATGCAAAGTTGATTAATTCATCTATTAAGTGTTATAAAATCTGTACCTTCTTTTTCCAACATATCTTTGTAGAAACATAGCCATGGAGTATGAAGCAAGAATCAGAAGAAGACGAAGGTTCTCAAAACAAGGAGAAAAGAAGTATGCTATTTTTTTTTTGTTTTCAGAAGTGCATGTTACATATGCTTGTACTCAATTGCTTGTGTTGTGTAATTTAGTATAAAGATTAATGTAAGTATTTTATTTAGTATGCATGAATGCTTAAGATCTAAAGTCGCATTGCCACATAAGGTCGTATATATTTTTATCGGTAAATAACATCGTTAGAGAGGCCTCATGAAACAAAAATTTCAAAGATATAAAAACTCTAGGCATCGAGACAAAATAAATACGTTATTTGAAAAATAGTGTATATATATATATATTGAAATTTATGAGAAAAAACAAAACATATCTCTTTTATTACTATTAGATTCTTAGCTAGATGTATAGATAATTCTATTATTACCCATCTTTTTATTATTTTATTGACTGTTATGGCCTCATAACTAGGAAAAAAGCATTTTCAAAAATTATAAAAAGAAAAGGAGTATTGTTGGTATACTAATAATATAACTAGATTAAAGTGTAAGGGGAAAATAAATGCATAGAATGTAAAGGAAATGGTCTTTATTTGATCAAATCTTAAAAAAAAAAAAAAATACACCAAAGGGAAAAATAACAATATAGTTTGTGTAGTTGAAGCTTGATTCGGTAGATTTGCATATTTGTGATTTTTTGTGTGTATGGTAAAAATTGATTTTTTTTATCTATTTTTTATAATTATTTGTCGGTCATTTTACGCAAAAGAACTAATCGTCTCGAAAACTAATTTATCCGTATCCATTGTTTAGCGCGGCTAAACGGCTATTATGTGTGTGTGTGTATATATATATATGAATTGCACCTGAAAATAAAATTAATGAAATAAATACTTCGTGCTTTATTAGTAGTGTATATATACACAAATGTTAGTTAATAATACTTGAGATATTAAATAATATTTTAACAGTTTAATCTAATACAATAAGATGCTAAAAAAACAAATACTTAAACATCTTAGTTTAAAAGTTTAAAATATTTAAGATAATTGTAGCTATAAGTTTTGTCATGTTTTGAAGTTTTGTTAAGATAATGACTTTGTTAGTTACAATAAAAACTAAAATTTAGAAAACAATTAAGTTTTAAAGAACATGGTGATATATAAACAATTGGTTTTAATATTGTTAGTTTCATACTGTCATAATAATAAAGATTCATGTTTTACGATAATTAGTTTAAGTGTGATCAAATATTTGCTACTGAGTACAAGCTCCACAAAAAAAAGAATTTTTAAACTAATTCGGGTATACCTGAAACCCACCAATCGTACCCTATACCCGACCTGAAAAATCGGGTTACTCGAATACTCGAAAAACTTTCCCGTTACCCGACTTACTCCACCCGATACCCGAGAAAATCGGGTGGGTGATTTGGGTATCGGGTAATTTCGACGGGGCTAATCATAAGGACTGTTCGAGTTAAAAAAATCGAAATCAAACACGCAAATTACCTCAAACCATAGAGACCATCTATGTAGTTTACTCTAAAACCTGCTTGATGATGTATTAATGTTGTATTAGTCATACTAATGTATTTTGTTTTGATATTCGTTGTGTTTAAATATTTCATACTAGTAATGTTAATTTTTTTAAAAAAGTTAACTAATTTACTATTTAGGTCCCTGCTAATTGTCTACTAACCCTCGACTAATCTCGTGTCTCTAGTCAACAGGCTTATCAGGACCTGAAAGACATATAAGCAGGTGTGTTTGTTTATTTTAGAGTAAATTACTGAAGTCATTACAATGGTTTGGTCACAATTGCACGTTTGTTTTTTAATATATATTTTTTTTTGCACTCGGATCGTCCATATGGTTTGATTTTGTTGCGTTTTTCATCCCTTACATACAGAAAGTTAGAAACCAAACGTGCAAGTTTGACCAAACCATAACACGAAAAACGCAACAAAATCAAACCATATTTAAAAAAATAAAAATAAAAAAATAAAATAAAATAGAGACGAGGCTGTGCTCTCGATTGTTGCTGCCGTCCGCTGTGAAGCCACCGCCGTTAGCCGTCTCCTCCCCACTGGCCGGAGATCGTCACAGCCCACAGCTGCACCGGAGACCTTCGTTCCTGCTTCTTTCGTCTTTTTTTTTTCCCTCCTGTTGTCTCTTTCATTCGTTTTTTTTTTTTTTTTTTTTTCCTGTCTAAGCTTCCTTTCTTCTCCCTTTGTATTCTGGTATATGATAGAATTAGAACTCAATAACTCTTGGCTTCTTTTTTTTGATGATGATGGTGGTGGCGGCAATTTGATGGAGTGATGAAAGTTTGAAGATGAGTAGTTTATGGTTGATTTTTAGCTTCGTTCGGAAACTCTCATGGTTTCTTTCAACTCCTCAAGTTTCTGAATTCTAGAGCTGTCACCACCAAATAACTTGCCATCCAATCTTCATCTCTATCAGCGACTTTTGACTGATATTTGCTTCTACAATTGTCAATTTTAGCATACAACTGGATTAGGGTAAACATTATGTTCATATCTTTTCTTTACGTTTCAATTTTGGCAGCCAAAACAAAATCAGGAATCACTTTTTTTTATCGTTATGATGTTACTTGTATATTATTGTTTATTTTATATAAATAAATACATTTAAAACTTACACTTTCTTTATCTGTCTTTAAGGTATTCTGTCCATCCTGGAAAGATCTGTTCAATTTCTGTTCCTCTAGAAATGAAGTTTAGCATCAGACGATATCCAATTATTGAAAGGGCAAATGTCAGAAAAGTATAGTCCAATTGCCATAAAAACCTAAATATAAAGTTTGTGCCTATTAATTAAAAAAACATAGTCAAAATTCAATTCCACCATAGACATTATACAAGAATACCTTGGAATCTAAAGTGCAAACTTGCCAGCTTTCCACGTTCTTTATCAAGTTCCTCTTGTAATCCTTTTATTTTTTGGTCATATGTTAATTGAAGTCTTGCAAGAGATTTGTTTTTCTCCTCCAGCAAATCAGATAGCTCCTAGAAGTTATTCATATATCTGTCTTTAAATTCATTCATTCATTATTTACTTATACTTTATCAACACAAGTGTATGAGCATTTATTTGTTACCTTTTCATTGCCTTCACTGCTTGAATTCCCATTCTTATTCGAGTGTGAAACTCCATTTCCTGATGCATCTTCTTTTAACATCACACCATTTTGCACCACTCTCTTTCCAAAAGAATGATTTTTCTGCTGTCATTTAAGTAAGTTAAAAGAAAAACAACCAGAAACTAGTTATCCATATAAAATGAAAATAAATATATATGTATATTTAAACAGGTTGGCAGGTTGATTTCATGTCAAAATTTTCCCTAACCCAGCCAATTTGGGAATCATAACAAAAATCAGGAATGGAATTGTATTGTACTGATTCTTTGAAGTAAATATGTATCACAAATTAGTTTTTATTTTTCTGCACTTATTGAGCAATTTTATAATTTCAAGAATTAATTGGGTAATTTTTTGAAGTAAACTCAGTTTGTATTTTTCTGTACTTAGCTTTAATATTGAGTGATTTTAAGTGATAAAAAAACTATTTTTTGCGTGAAATAACAACATACATTCAACCATTATAATATATTATTGTTTTTATATTATATTTATTGAAAAATAATATAAGAAATGTGGACGGTTTTGAAGATTTACTGATTGGAGAGCAAAAGCGAACAGGGGAGCACTCCTGTCTAAGGTGGTTGGTGGGATGACAAAGGTTTTGAGGCTGAATGTTTTGTTTTTAATCTTGGAATTTGAGAATCGAGTTGGGTAGACTGAATAATTTGATGTCAATGCACTCTCTTATGCCAAAGTGGAACCAGATCCCTCGAGCATCTTGGGGAGTGTTCCACAGTCAGTTGCTCTTACAATCACCGAAACTCATTTCCCCTGCATCTGTATGCCTGATATTCACTCTTTCGACCACCGATCTCATTCAAGACTATATCCATGATGGAAACATAAACGCTGCTCGCAAACTGTTTGATGAAAATCCCGCATCTTGTAATACAGTCGCTTGGAACTCCATGATCACTGGCCACATCAGACACAACCAAATGCAGTCCGCTCATGAACTATTCGATAAAATGCCCATGAGAGATGTCGTTTCATGGAATACCATGTTGTCCGGTTTTAACAAGATCAAAGATCCACACAAACTCCACCAACTGTTCTTGCAAATGAACAAAGCTGGCGAAAGGCCCAACCAATTCACATTTTCAACCATAATCAGCGGTTTCTTGAACACGTTTGATGTCTTGGTTCCGCAGCTTCATTCTCTCATTCTTCACTCAGGCCTTCATTCCAATGTCTTCGTGGGGTCAGCATTGATGAGGGGCTATACCCATTTAATGGATCGATCTAGCCTATGCCGTGTGTTTGATGACATCCTTACAAAAGATATCAGTACATGGAATGCATTGCTTGTAGGCTACATGGATTTGGGCTTCATAGCCGATGCACAGATAACCTTTGACATGATGCCTGAACTTAACATCATTTCCTGGACCACCTTAGTCGATGGGTACATCAAAAACAGAAATATCAACCAAGCACGCCACATGTTCGACAAAATGCCACAAAAGAATGTCGTCTCCTGGACTGCAATGATCAAAGGGTATGTCCAACAAGAAAACTACACCAATGCCATACAACTATTCATCTCAATGCTAAATTCCAACACGTCTCCCAACCATTTCACCTTTTCAACTCTCCTAGACGCATGTGCAGGTTGTTCCATGTTTCTCCTTGGAAACCAGCTTCACTCATGCATTTTAAAATCAGGATTATGTCAAGAACTCGTCCTCTCAACCTCCCTCATCGACATGTACACCAAATGTGGCGACATCAAATCTGCATTCACCATATTCGACTCCATGAAAACCAAGAACACGGTTTCATGGAACTCCATCATTGGAGGTTGTGCAAGGCATGGATTGGCACACCAAGCTTTATCTGAATTCAAGAAAATGACTGAAAGTGGTATGAAGCCTGATCATGTGACTTACATCAATGTACTATCGGCTTGTGTGCATGGAGGGCTTGTTAAAGAAGGTGAACACCATTTTCATTCAATGGTGGAAAGATACGGAGTTGAAGCAGAGATGAAGCATTATACTTGCATGGTGGATTTATATGGGAAAGCAGGTGAAGTTGATAAGGCTGTGAGATTGGTGAAGGAGATGCCTTTTGAACCTGATGTGGGTGTGTGGGGTGCATTGCTTGCTGGTTGTGGGTTGCATTCGTGTTATGAGGTTGTAAATGGGCTTCAAATTTTGGGAAGAGACTATTCGAGTATTTATAATATGTTAATAAAGATACATAGTGAAAAGGGTTCGTGGAGTCATGCAATTGAGATGAGGGACAAGGTGATTGAAAGAGGTGGTAGGAAGCAAAAGGCTGCTAGCTGGGTCGAGTTTTCCATTGGTGAAAGCTAATTAAAAAACATGGTAAGAAATAGTATTTGACTATTTGTATATACTTTCTATCAAAAGGTTTACTTAGGATTGTATGTTAAACAAAAACATTAGGAACAATTTAGATGATTGTAAAACGTCTTAGAAAATTGCATAACCTTTTGTACCAAGAAACAAGGAGTCAACGAGGCACTCTCAAGCCTTAACTCTTAATCAAAAGTTTGAAACATACACCATTTGAAAAGCAAAACACTTGGGTGTAATTTTATTCATGTTAGATATTTTATGGAGTCGTTCCCTAAAGGGTGTGTTCATATTTCAAGATAATCACATGTTGCTGGGATTTAAAAAAAATGACAACTAATATTGTGAAACTAAGGTCACAAGTTCGAGTAAGCTCGCTTTATCTGACTTCTAACAAATGCTAAATGAACAATTTGACGTAAAAAAATACCAAAAATATAAAACTAGTACTCATTCATTAACAATTTCATATAAAGATTACAAGAAAGAAAAAAAAACACTAATATTGATTTTGATATCATCATGGCATTCTACTTTTTGTTTGTCGTTTGAGAGAGGTACTTTGGTGGTGGGGTTTGGAATGACATTCACCACTTGTTGTTTGGTTTGACACTTGATGGTGAACAACAAAGGATATTTTGAGAATAGTGTTTGCAAATCAGATCAATATTCATATATCAACATAACTTTGCAAGTTACATGAGACTATTATGAGTCACTTTTTTAGTATTCTTCAATGCCCTTTATCGCTTGGAAACAATAACATTCTTCGTATCAGCAATGAGAAACTTACCCCTTACTTTCTTCACCTCAATTAATCTGCCATTCTTTATTCTGAAAAATTAGAAAATGGATCCAATTCTGCCATTCTTTGTAGTTGATCTGTAATAAGGTTTTATAAGCAACAATAGATACTATATATAGTATACCAAAAATCAAAATATCTACAACAAAACATGAATGATGAGAATAAATCTAAACTAACTAGCAGTTCTAAGGCAACTCTGTTGGATATAAAAATGTTGTTTTAGTGTGAAAATGTATTCCAACCAACCATTAAAAATGATGTTTTAGGAAGGAAACCATTAAATTCAATACAAAAATAGTAGGATCGAATTGGTGAAATATTATTCATCACACAAAAACACAAAAAAAAAAGGGTTTGAATAGTTTCCTTTCATTTTGTGGGATATTATTCATCAGAGACCCTTTTTTTGTTAAAATAATAGTATTTTAGTTGGTTTGTTATTTTTTTTTATAACTATTATAATTATTATATTAGAATTTATATTATTAAAATATGATTTTAGTATGGTTGCAAAATTAAAAGTGTTTTAGTATAAATTTTACATAAAAATAATGCAAATTTTACATATTGCTCCGGCGTTTTATTTAAAGAAAGAAAAAAAGAAAGCAGGATGATTGGTAAAAAATCATCACCCATAAGTTTAGTTATTGGAAAAAAGAGAATATAGAAAAGAACGCAAGATTTATACTAATCTTCCTTCCTCTCTAATTGGGAGGAATTGGAGAGAAAGATTATCCTCTTCCTTTTCTTTTCTTTCCTTTAACGAACTCGAGAGTGGAACATTAATGTTAGTGTTGGAGTTAATTAGTCTAAGATCACCATGAAGGTTGGTTGTTAGCACCGGTGTTGCAACCATTGATAAATCCTCCATTGGTAACATCCCCTCCAAATCTTTGTAAATTTGTTGCTTCAACGCTTCCACCATAGACTGCAAATCATAATAGAACCATCAGTTTAATTTTACAAAATGACTAGGGTTTACTAAAAAAGAAAAAAGATTATAAAGTGTACAAAGTCTTGAGGTATGAAATACAAACCTTCTGGAAATCAGTAAGCTCATTCATGGAGACATGATATTCACCATCAAAGGTTGCACCCACAACCTCCAAAACAGAATTGAACAAAATCCCGATCCCTTCTGCAACACAGCTGTACATGTACAGCTTCTCATCTAAAACACAGGCTTTCGCGTGTTTGATAATCGTCTTGCAGTTGTTGTTATTCGGCCCTCCAAGTAGCTTTATTATCCAATTTATAATTATAGTCATATTCATCCATGACATGATTATCCAAACAAATATGTAAAAGAGTATCACTTACCCCACATACTGAGGATTTTTTGGTGTTATACATCTGTAGGAAGTCTTTCACAGTATATATTTTGTGTGATGCCAATAGCCCTTGCAAAACTCCATCTTTTGCTATCCTTTCCAAGCGCCATATATCATCACCCAATGTTGGAGGATGGTGCTTCTTGTATGCTGAATCATGCAAAAAAAAAAAAAATAGTGATTCCTCTTTAATTTCATGGTCGATTGTAAGAAAGAGAGGACACCCGAGAAAGATAGCATGCATTTATAGCATATTTTGTGGACCCAACTGAATCAAAAGGGGACACCTTGTTATTCCGAGTTGAATATGCTCCCATAAATGGAAATATTGCAAGCGTAGTGAGTCTTAAAAGGGGTATTATAATAGTATAATACTATAATCATATGCAATACTTTCCCATATAAATCATTAAATCAAGAAGCTCGCACCATTTTCATATATATAGAAAAGCTTTAGAATCTAAAGAATGTAGAAGAGATCGATGTATAAAATATAAAACGGGATCTTACACTCTCCTCGCTGGTCTTTTACCACGAAGGCTTGGCTCTTAGCTTCCTTAATTCTGACTCCATGAGTGGCATTTTGGACTTTTGCCCCTAACCTAAACGTCCTGTTCCTCCTCCAGCATGAATTATCAGTAAAAACGACATCGCCTAAATCAGCAACCCCATCTTTCAGAGTCGCTACAAGATCCCCAGTCAGCAATGGCCTTTTGCCATCTCTTGCAGATACAACTTTGGCATCAAAATAACTCTCAGGCCAATCTTCCTCATCATCAAAAGGGAAATCACCATCAAGAGGAACAACCACTATCTTCTGTGAAGACAAGGGTCCAAATGACACCATCTCATTGGAATTGGTATCAAATAACCCTAGTTTTATAGCACCCCTGTCCTCAGATTCTATCCTATTTCCAGTGAAAAATGTAGGAAGCAGCCTATTGAGGAAACGAAGCTGCAAGGATGGTGTACTAGACGTATCAAGTGCATCAGAAGGAGATCTATAGAAAAAAACAAGAAATACACAACTTTTACATATGCCAAATAAACCATTAATTAGCATCCATCAAAATCTTATATAAAGATAGATAATATCTGGAGATGACAAGTGTACACCCCCATATGAACAACATGAACATGAGATAGAGATACAACCTTGGAAGTGTACCAAAGAAATTTTGAAATGCAAGCTGCACCCCATCTTGCACCTATCAAAAGAAAATGTAAATGTGTAATGAATTCCAAAACTGTTAATAAGTTCACAAAGAAGACATGATCATAGTACCACTCCTCGAATTAATGGTTCCAGTCTTGCCTCAAATTCTTCATGAGAAAACATATGCATCACATTTCTAACATTGCTGCAAATGAAACATATATCAAGGAGATTAATTTGCAAGTCAAAACTCGTAAAGTTATTGGAAGTTGTACAGAATCTGAATCACTCACCTTGAAGACCCACTTTCATTTGATTCCGGATTAGGAAATCCAGAACTATTTCCTTCTTCCTCCTCCTCACTTAAGGGTCGTTTTGGTACCATAATACACCAACAAGTTATGACAATATTAGGAATCAATGCGATGTTAACTGTAAACTGCCAAATAAGGGTCTTTTATAGGGAGATGCATATGACTGGAAGATTGTATGAAACTTCCAAGTAAATCAATGTGTACCTCAGATGCAGGTGACTGTTTGTCGTTTAATGAGTTTAAGGTGTAGTGTCCAACACCATATCATTTTCTTGTTTCTTTTTTATAACAAAATATATGTCTCTGCACGCATGGTTAGTCAACATACACTTTTCATTTTTCAATAAGTACACTAATAAAAATTCTCATAGCTTTTATATACACCCTTCCATTCCAAAAAAAAGCGTCCTTTATATAATTTATGCCATTTTAACATTGAAAGTTAATCTCAGATGAGCCAAAATTTATTAATATTATATTATCGGACCATGCAAACACGGAAAGGGACCTTCCCTAGCACTTAAGTCCCATATACAAACGAGTAATGGGGTCTTCTTTTCTTTCTAAAAGTAACATTATATGAAATTAAGTAATAACTATGAAAGTTCCAATATTTCGTAGATGATGTATGGTAATTCCTTCGACCCAGTAAAGACAGAAAAAAAGGGTCAAAACCGTCTTATCATAAAAATAATGTAATGTACGGTTTGAAAATCGGAATCCACAGCCCTAATTATTGGCCCCACTAAAAACAAGTAATCGGCGGGAAACAAGTGTAGAGGAGAATGAACGCGTAGATCAACGAGGATTGCACTATTATGGTTTTACGAAGAAGTTTAGTAGAAGTTGCAGAAACGCGTAGGACTAACTATTTGCATTTGCATTTGAACTTCCTTTTTTACAATAAATACAAAAAGCTATGATTAAAAAAAGTGTTAATAACTTAGGCATCAACAATTCAATCAACCGTTTAATGATTATCACATCATATTTTTACGATTTATATAATTCTATTATTATTTTTTTATTACAATGAATTGAACTCCACAAAGTTCAATAGAATGTAATTTATAAAATGTAATTTATAGTAATTATTTAAAAATTTAAAAAATTTATTTTTCTTATTGAAAAGTTTAAAACTTCAAATCCATTAAATGCCAATATAACATCTCATAATGATAAAATTTCATCTATTGAATGACACATAGACCTGCCACATCGTTCAACTCTCTCATTGAACTCACTATTGTGATGCTCTTAATATCATAAAAACCCTATACTGAGATTTTTTTTAATTAATCCAAACTTTTTTTTTCTTGTAAATAACTTCATAATTTTTTATTTTATTTTTTGGATTCGGTTTTCTCAAGGTATCCGTAAATTTTCAATTTTAGACAACAAAAAATCCAAAAAACCCATTTGTCTTTTTTCTTCGAAAACACCCTTAACTATTTTCCCCCAAAACCATTCCCATTTGACAAACTTTTTATTTTGAAACAACTTTTTGTTGTGGCTCATAATTCTTATGGTTTTTTATATTATTTATGATGTTTTTAATGGTTTTAACATTAAAATCTAAAGGAAGCATTTGATATTTTTTCAAGACAAGAAGAAATATGTTGTTTCCAAGTTTTATTAACAAAATGTATATCAAAATCTGTTTACGTAATGATCAAAGATTGTAGCATGTGGAGAACATATGTCTAGTCTGGTCTTACTATGTTTCTAACCGGCTAAAAACATTATGAACACTATAAATAACAACAAGAAAAAAATATTCGAATTATGAGTAAAAAATGTTTATTCAAATGAAAACAAAAATTGAGTATCGGATGAATATGATGTTATTATTATGGATCAAAACACTTCTAAGATTAAAAATGTTTATAATGTGCAACACATGAAAGTTGAAATTAGATTTCATAAAAAAACTTAATGAATTCTCCAAAATACCACATATTGCAGTATACATACAATGCATACAAACCAATGGCTAGCGACCTCATGTCGTTCTGTTTTACTCACAGCCTAACGCCATTATGTCATCAACAGTTGACTCATAACCTGACATCGTTCCGTCATCAACAATGAGTATCAACGTTGGCGACCCATTGTTGTTCCACCACCAACCGCTCAACAGTCATATAAACACATTATACAACCAATCAGTCAACAAATAAAGACTATACTAGCCTAATCATTCATTTATACTTTATCCGTACTCTCAGCCAACATGAAAACTGTATCGAAGCTACTGCTAACATTGGCGGGTCGCCTTATAAATGCGTAGTCATATGTAGTCGGAAATAAGATAGATAGTTAAACTATTATTCCTACCCAAAAGCAATATACTAGACAAGAGCCATGCAATAAAGTCATATAAAGAGTTTTAAGGCTATTTGATTATAACTACGTTCAACTCGGTCCTAATACATTCACTTAATGATCTATCAATACTAACATATACCTCAACCAAACAAAATCTGGTAGATATATTAACACAAGGTTATCCTAGTTTATCAAACACTACTAGAAAAGAACCCTTTAATGACGCGCAAACAATGACACAAGCTAATAGAAGACACAAATTTGTGCGCGCCCTAAAAATTAGTGCCAGTTTTCCAAAATTTTAAGGATAGAGGACACGCATTTATGTGTGCCCTAAAATTAGTGTCCAACAAAAAAATTACAAACACGGAGGGTGCTTTATCTCAAATGTATGTCCTTTACACATGCCACTTTATAATTTTTACCAAACCCACGTTTTTATCACAAAATCGCAGGTACTATTAATTCTAGGGCTTCGATCATTCAAAACCAATTTCTGATCCACATGAGAGCTTTGTAGTCGACGACCTGATCAACCTCGCTTAACCTCGCCGGAAACCTGTGTAGCAAGGGGAAAAAGCGAAATCCCAAATTTTTTGAAAACCCTGTCTCGTTCTCTTTTGCCTTTGTTCTCCATATTTTTTCTGAACATTTCCACATCACCCAGTTCAAACACGATTTAGGTTTCAAATTCAAGCAAAAGGATGGGAGAATTAACAATTGACTTTCACGATAATCTCTGGTCTATCTCTTCCAACTTTCCCCGATTCCATCGTTATCACTCCTCACAAAAATCTCCATCGATCATGTTGAGTTTTCTCCACCGGGTAGTCCTCTCGAAGATTCTATGTTAATATCGGCTTATCTGTTCACACGCCATGACTTGCCTCTCTTCTTCTCTACATATCTAAATAACGACATCTACAGGTACGATTTACTCCATTGCTAACTGGAATTCCTTCAACTTCTTTTGAATGTACTCATTTTGCATCTCTATTATTTTTTATTTCATGGTTCTGCAAGTTAGGGTTTAATTATGTTGGGAAATTTTCATGCTCAGGGAATATTCCAGATGTTATGTAGCTTAACTGTTATGCAAAGGTTTGTGTTATTTTGTTCTTTCTCCTAATTCCCAAGTTCAATTGATTTCTTATTATAAACATAAAGGTTATATATCCTTTTAACTACTTTGTATCGGCCGTTTTTAGTTTTTTACAAAATTTACTTGATCTTTTTCAGGAGCCTGATACATAAATTTGTCTAAATATGTTGGATGCTTTGAATGAATGTCTACAGGTTGGGTCAATAATCATTGTCTTTATTTTAGTATGTTATTGATGCTTTGCAAGCAGTTTGCATCAAGGAAGCTGTAGGAGCGAATTCCTTGAACTCTTTGGAAGAAGAAACAAGTCTGATTGGGCTTACCTTTGGGGGGTTATCTATGGTCTAAGGTGATTTTTGAGTTTGAGATATAAATTTAAATAATTACTAGACTCTTTGTATTTATTTTAGTTTTGGATTAGATCATTTGCATCAAGTGTGGAGGCAAATCAGAGATGCATGAATGGATGATGGATCTAACAGTTGAAATAGAAGGTGATATAGGAACTTTGGAAGAGGCTTTGGATAGGTTTACATGTATTGAGATTCTGGATGATAATGCCAAAAAAGAGAGGAGTCATGAAGAACTGAATAAGCTATATGAGACACATGAAAGGCTTCTAGATCTTGTTTCATTATTTTGTTATGTTCCAAGAACAAAGTATCTACCTCTAGGGCCAACAAGGTAATATATTATTGCATTAATATCATCAACTATTGTATTTTTTATATTGAATGTAGCAGAAGCTTATTCATTTGTGTTTCTAGATCATCTTTCTACTTCCTTCTTTGGTTGTTACTCACCTCACAGTTATACTGCTATAACAGATATCTCCTAAGAAGAAGTGCTCTAAAATTGTTTATGGTTGACCGGTCAAATTTCTTCTTTGATTTTGGGGTATTTACCATCACAATTTCATCTTTATATGTTTCTTGGTCAACTATACTGGTGACATTCTACTTATAAAGTGGTTTAATGTTTCTTGCTTCAGACTATGGAGGGTAGAAGGAGTGCATATTGAGCCATTGTTCAAGCACATCCTTCTCATTTGAACAATATATACTTGGCTACCCAGGTTTTTATGTTTTTTCCTTTCTACGACTTGGACCATATATGTCAAATTGTTAACCAAATCGAGACAAATTATATTAGCTTTATGAATCATTAATCATGAACTTAATCACACATAAAGTTTCTAAAAATAAGCATTCTACTAATATTTAAATAGAATATATTGTTGAGGATGGTACCCGTTGTCTTGTCATATTAATTGCTTATTAAGACTTCAGATGATACTTCCAATGTAACATCCCAAAAATACGAGCCAAAAATTTTCATTTTTAAAACACATACTTAGCAAACATTAGAAATAAAACATTCACCGATCATATCATTTCATAAAAGATGTGCGTGTTTGGAAACCAGTTTATAAAAACATAACAAAGTCAGAGTACAAATCCCCAGGAAGATCTCATAATGTAGAATACAAGTGTGTGTGTGATGTGCTGCTACCGCTCCAGCTCCTTCCCTTTCGAAGAAGCGGTACCTGAAACCAAAACTGAAAACTGTAAGCACGAAGCTTAGTGAGTTCCCCCATCATACCACATACCATACAATCACATATCATACATATTGTCGGGCAATTCTGAGGTACCCGACTTACCTGGTACGGCCATTCTGGGGTGCCAACCCACCCGTGTTAAGCCGTTCTGGGTGCTGACTACCCATGTCAGTCCATTATGGGGTGCTGACTACCCATCGGTCCTAACGATCGATCTTCGGGGACTATTTCACCCCTACTGTTACTAGCACATATATCATAACATAACATAATATCAGACATATCTGGGGTGCCTAAACTATCCTTCGGTCCTAACAACCGAACTCAGGGACTAGTCCCCTCCTACTACCTCTATCGCATATAACATAACAAGCCAGCATGCGAACATATCATCACATACTGTCAGACGTACCTGGGTTGTCTGACTACCCTTCGGTCCTAACGATCGAACTCTACTACTATCACATACAACATATCGTGCTAGCATATAACATATCAGGTAGTAGCAAACCTAGATGATTTTACAAAGACAATCATCTATCATACATCTCCTACTGGTGGGCCGGCATTGTGGCCTTGGACCCACCGCTACTGGAAGGTAACTCACCTCGAAAGTAACAGCTGAAGTCTACTAGCTGAGTGTCTGACTGCTGGATCGCAAATCCTCCGGCTATAAACCATAAACATAGGTCAACTCCTTGGTCAAAGTCAATATCCATTTGACTGGACTCGCCGAGTCATGGCATAGACTCGCCGAGTCCTTTTCCTATTAACCCGGTTCTACTCGACCAGTCATTCTTCCCACTCACTGAATCACCCTTAACTCATTACTTGGGACGATTGAACCGACTCGCGACCCGAATCGCCGAGTTTGAAGAACAACTCATCGAGTTCCAGGCAATCTTCATAGGACTCGCCGAGTTGTTCATCCAACTCGCTGAGTCTACGGCCATCTTCATGGAACTCGCCTAGTTCCTCCTTGGGACTCGCCGAGTCCCTATGACCCATTTCCCATATAGGCCAAATCTGAGACATGCAACGCTTCAAAACCATAGATCCATGTTCCTTGAGCATGCTTATCACGTAAAGTTGCAAACTTTACGTGCATGCATGGCCCTATAAGCTCTTAAGGCCAAAACCAAACTCTTAATGAGGTTATACACTCAATGGGGACGTCAATCACTTCAACCACAGAACTTTATGCTACTAATTCATCCAATAAGTCTAGATCTGAAGTCCTTTCAGATCATTAAGCTCCACACATGGAGTTTGGTGTTTTAGGGCTTGAAACACACCAATTTGGGACAAAAATGGTAACTAATGACCTAAAGATAAAGGTAGGGACTTTTCTACCTGAATGGAAGCTTCTCCCTGAGTAGAGTTTGGATTTACTCCTTTCGTTGCACTCTTCAACCACCTCTTTCTTCTTCTAAGCTCCAAACCTCCTTCACAAAACCAAAAACACTCTCAAGAACAATATAGGGGCTAGGATCTCGCTCTACTGATCTCTGGAAGTGTTAGGGACAAAGGAGGCCAAGTTAGAGTGTTTAAATAGGGTGCAAACACCCGGATTAGGGTTTTTGCCCAACCAGCGCCTACTCGCTGAGTCCGATGACCGACTCGCCGAGTCCAAGGTCCAACTCCCGTGCCTTGTCCCACTCCTACTCGGTGAGTTGGCCCATCAACTTGCTGAGTCCAAGGCAAGATGCATTATTATCATTTATATATTTTTAAACGGTAATTAGCAAGGAGTACGTACCGGGAACCAGGTGCTACATCCTATTACAACATTGTACATTGAGAAATCTACCTGATTATAGCAACGCTATGTAGAAAGAAACTGAGTATAATGCCTTAATAAAAAAATTGAAAAAAGAATGCTTTGTAATAGAAAGCAATTCGAATAGGATGCTATAATAAGCATATAAATGAAAGTACATTGCTATTTCTCACCAAAACTTACTTTATTTGAGGACTCATATGACTGTGCTTTAATCTTTTCCTTAGAGACCGGATCAACTTCTCAGCATCAGAGAGGCGTCTTTTAAGGGATGAAAGTGTGCATATGGTTGGTTGTCAATGGCTAGAAGAGTGTTTTGAGAAAGATGAGATGCTTCAAGAGGATGAATATATTATGAAGACAAGTGGTTTGATGGAATCAACATTATATAAGTAAGTTCAAATATTCCTTCTTATTCAATATTGATAAACTATAAATTTGAATCATGCAGTTGATGATATTGAAGACATGAAGAGACAATAAAAGGCATAATAAGAAAGGAGAATCTACATTTTATGTTTATTTAATGAATATAGCATACTACTCATTGTTACAGAAATGATCATTTTTTTATAACTGAAACATTATATGCAATTTTTTTTCTCAGGTTGGGGTTACAAACTTCAATACACAGGTGATGATATTGATGAAATCCGTGAAGAATGATCGAACTTTTTTACCGACTTCATTTACCGGTGATATTTTGTATCCACAAACAATATAACAATGAAATGTTAGGTAACATTTGTCTTTTGACATGTGATGTACAATGTTTTTGTTAACTGTGTGAAATATTACGTAGCATCCTCTTTTGACATGTAATGTACATACAATGTTTTTAATAACTTGTTTAACATTTAGATGAAATTGAATGTTTGGTATATGGTATTTTGAATTTTATGCAATGGATTATATTTTTTGTATATGATATTTTATTTTTATTATGATAAATTAAATGCAAATTTAATTTAAAAATTAATAAATATATAATTTTTTTTAACATTTAAATTTACGATATGCAAAAATGTGTGTCATCTTCATTTATGACATGGCCTTTCTTCACAGGGGTTTTAATGATACTCATTGTGTGTCATAAATGCGTGTCTTCTATAGACGACGCGCAAAAGCGTGTCGTCTCTCGTTATGGCAGGGCCTTCCTTGACACACATTTGCGCGTCATCTGAGCGTTTTACGACACACATTGCACGTTGTAAAAGGTTGTTTTTCTAGTAGTGACATAATTGTATATACTAACAATACAATTACATCATATCATACAAAGGATATATATTGTTACACGTAATATAATGAGAAAACTCACTTGAATCTAGCAAGCAGAAAGTCAACAACACTCCCCGTAACAAAACAAACCACAAACCACCTAAGACCAATCAAAAGTCAAACCTCGATCCTTAGTTCAAATCCATCAAAGTTTAAACAAAAGTCAAATTGGTCAAAAAGCCAACAGGTCAATGCGTCGCAACCTAGCTCTTGGTCGCGTCACGGGCACTAGGCGAAAAATATAATCGTCAACCCAACCTCATAGCTGCATCGCGCTTTTCGAGCAGAATCCTATTTCTTGTGAAGTACTTAATCCTTCAAGACCAAAAATCAAACTTTCTAGAACTCTTCTACGGAGGGTCTTAATGGATGACTTTTCTCAAATCCATGGCTCAAACATATCCAACTCTAAAACTAAGTCCAAAATAAGTCAAAAAAATGCTTACAACTTCATGTATGGAGGAAATGGGAAGATAAACATGCACTCAATACACCACAATGGGTCCAAAATATCAAACCCACCTTTGGACCTAGAGTTTTCAAAACTCCATAGAAAATCATGATAAAAGGAACCAAATAAGATTATAAAGTTAGATCTAACAATCATAAACCATAAACTTTAAGACTTGATCACTTACAGAGCTTGAAAAGGTAACTAAAAGGTAGGAATTCTTTCGATCTTGCTTCACTAGGCACCATGGAGCTTGCTGTTGGAAAGAGTATCTAAGGTCATTAACCATTGGTAATATTTCTAATAATAACAGGGTCCTTTCGGGCTACCCTCAAGACCCAACTTGAGTAGAATTAATAAAGGAGAAATTGGTTTATTAGTTATTAAGGTTTAATAATTAATTATAAACTAATTAGAAAATACATTAGAAATTAATTAAACAATTTAATTAATTAAAGGGTTGAATATTCATTAATCAATAGTTGGTTAATCATGAATATTCTAGAACCCTTATGTGAGTAAGGGTGGACGAAATCTCTCTTGGATAAGAGAGGATTTCGAAATTTTCATATCATCACACATGGGGATGGAGAATCTAAGGCTATAAATAGTGCCTTAGGAACCTCTTTTTTTCTTGCTCATTTAGCTTGACTTTTTCGCCACTGTGACAATTATAGAAATTAGGTCATCATTAAAGGAACAATGTTAACCTAATCACTGCTGTAATAGACCTAATAGGTAATAAAGTTGTGGTTTTGTTGGTTATAGGGTTTAATACTTTGAAATACATCTGAAATATCAATCAAGTCTTAAATTGATATGAATCCCTAATAAACGAATAGTTTCAGTATACATAAGGAATGGGTTAATGCATATGATTGAAATACATATATGTATTATAAATTATTATGTGGTATAAATAAGTTCATCAGCCAATCCATGAAAATAGGAAATTTTGGACATAAAGAACGTCGAAAACGAAATTTGTATGTAAAGTATACAAGTGTTTTAAGAATAATAGTTCACCGCCTAATAGGTGTCAAAATCCGACTTTAAATGAAAAACGAGACGTCTTAGGAAATGAATTTTTATTCCCGGAAAATTTCCCATGAGTCTCATTCAGTTTAGGAAGTTATCATGTTCCTAACTTTTCATGCCCGAAAATAACCCGAGCTGTTGAGGACACGGTTGAGCGGCTAAGGTTCGCCTTCTACCCTAGTAATCTTCGTACGACTTGTAGAATCATTATCGAGTTTCGTATTGAAAAGTTACTTATATATTACGAATTAGGTTTTGATGTAGTATTTGATTCAAGAGCTAACTTTTCCATCACGCGTCATATCGACTCTTTTACGAAGTGAAAGTTTGTTACTGTAAATGGATAATTTCCGAAAACATTTTCAAACGCTTAGTAAAGATAGCTACACTATTTCTTCGCGACGAACCATTTTATTAGAAAAATGTCTAGCATTTGATTTAGTTAACGAAAACGTCGCCACTCGAAATTTCCCGAAAGCCTGTCGCCTAGATTGGATAAGATTGAAAACTATGATTGATTCAGACCGTCAGACTGCTTTCGTTCTTGGCCCTTGGAATAGATTGGAGTTTACTATAAATAGAAATTAGGTCTCCCTAATTCCTTGCACCTTACCCTCTCTCCTTCTTAGTTACTGAAACCGTCGTGAGTCGTCGTAGGCTGCCAAGAGTCGTTGCACTGGAAAACCACGAAAAAACCTCGATGACCGGTTGCCATTCCTTTTTCCTTCAAGAAATCTCCAGCGAAGCCTTGTCCGATTAGCCTACTCCCTCCAGCAGCTTTCGACAAGCAAAAGAACGCTGACAACCGCCGTCGCCAGAGTAGTTTTCCGGTCACATTTGAGTGGTCTTCCGATTAAGGGGTTGTTTGACAAGATCTGAATTTTTAAGAGGTCTGAATTTTTAAGATCTTAATTTTTTATTTGTTGTTAGGTTGGAACCTCTTAGTTAATGAGTTGAATGATGAAAATGACCGTTTTACCCTTATGTATTATCTTTTGCTGAATTCAATATTTCTGATTTATAAAAATAACTCAACCAACGCCTTGAATAATTATAAAAAAATATAAACACCATAAAAAAATCCAAATCAAACATAAATATTTTCAAATCCACCAAATAATACCATAATCCAAATAAAATCCTACAAAATCCGAATCATAATAATATATTCTCAAATCCATGAAACCAATGGATAGTAGCCTTTGATTTAACAACTTTTGTGACTGATTTTGTTGAACCATTCTTCCCGAAACTGTGGCTGCTAATGTTGTTTTGAAGCTTGGATATTTTGTCAACGAAAAATGTCTTTTGATCTACGAAAAACTCTTGCCAAAATCATTATATATGCACCTGTGACATACAAAAGGAAATCTGGAATCACAGAAACAACAAAACATTTGAATAGAAAATTTCCATATCATTCTATACAAGAAACTCAAGAACTTGTATCAATTAACAAAAAAGATTTCAAGCAAAAACACATACAGATTCAGATCTCAACATCAGATTTCAAACAAAAACACATACATATTCAAATTTCAAGCAAAAAAACATGCAAATTTCAAGCAAAAACATATACAGATTTTAGAAACTCAAGAGCTTGCATCAATTACATATCATATTTCACAGCATCTCCATGTCTGATTTTAAGAACTAGAAATACTAACATAGAAAGTTCAATGTACTCATTCATTACACTACCAAACATATTATAAGAAATCTCATATAACTAAAACTTCATGAATTTCCAACATCAGCTACATAAATTTAAAACCCCAAATTACATATATAAAGTAACTCATTAGCAAGAATTTGTAATTGAACACACATCACAAGTATTGGGTACTGTAAAAATCCAAAGTGAACACATAGGTTTCGGAAGCTAGATTGAAAAGTTAGGTTTTCCAGAACTCACCTATAGATAAAACGCCACCACCAGAAACAATTCAATTGCAAATAGATGATTCTCCCCCCTTTCTATTCTTTCTCGACCTTCCTTGACCGCAAAGTAAACAACACCACAAACTCAATTAACTCAATGGGTCGAAGCCAATATTGGGGTTAGCGACAAAAGAACGAATACTAGTGATAACATCCACTTGCTGGCAACACAAACCCTAGGCTAGGGTGTGGTTGCAGATCGGAGAGGGATTGGAGTGAGAAGGTGGCGTGTGACCATGACATGCGATGGTGGTGCTGTGCGACGACCGATGCCTATGTCCGACGAGATACAGGGGAGAGGATGGAGGCGGTTCTTCTTTGATGGCTTCAAGAAAAGAGAGAAGGGTGTGACGAGGGTATGATAGGAAAAAAATACAAACGCGCACCTTCCTTTTTCTTTTTAGATGCATAGTGAAGTCTGAAAAAATAAGAGGTTATTATCGTATTAAGAGGCAAAAAATAAGACTCCACCAAACGGTATGAATCTGAACTTTTAAGAGCATGCCTCTTAATTTGTCAATTAAGATGCTAACAAACAGCCCCTAAGTTGGGACTGAGTATTATTCATATAGGTTGACAACACTATTCATCGGTTAAAGTTACTATTTATCGGAGTGTGAAACTGCTAATTGCTGGAAATTCATATTCTCTTCGATTTGTCATACACACTTCAACCAAGTGAGTTCACGACCCCATTTAAAGCCTTTTATTGTATTCGGGGGGGGGGGAATACATGCAATAACTGTTTTATTTCTATTAGGTTTATAGAAATGATATTTAAACTATAACGAGAATCTATTTTAACCAAAAGATATAGTAGGTTTATATTGTAATAATGCTATTTCATTACCCAATATAGTAGTCTTACTGTGGAACCTCGAATTAAGGAATATTTGTAGTATTGTATATTGTTGTGGGATTGGTAACCTAAAACTTTTTTACTAAAGTTAGAGTT